CTCCTACCAGGGGACAAGGGTAAGTGCCCTTGAAACATTGCTCCATCAAATCTTACAGTAATACACTCTCATGTTTAAAGTCAATAAAAATTTTTACTGCTGGTTCTGGTTTAGCTTAATAATACAATCAATATCTTTTTACAGTCTTCAGTAAGTGAAATTGTATTCTTATTATGATTGTTACAAAATTAAGAGCTATGGCATATTTTATGGTGCATTAACATGAACTGAGCCTAGGATAAGAAAATATATGATGATCATTCAGTACTTGCAAAAATTATCCATAAGGAAACAACATATTTACCCCCTTTGTTATTCAAGGAGGAAACTAGAACCTTTCTTTTCAATTAGTAATATACTACTGGGTGAAGGTACAATGAGAATTATACGATTCCGCCTGGGAACATTTTTTTTTTTAAATCTTAGCAAATTTTCCATTCATCCCCGAACCCGGAAAAAGAAATAACCCTAAACAGAACACCATGCTGTTGTCAGGTGCCATCGAGTCTATTTCAACTCATAAAGAGCCCATGGGACAGGGCAGAACTGCCCCATAGGATTGTCTTGGCTGTAATCTTTCTAGAAGCAGATCACCAGGTCCTTTTCCCTCATACCAGCTGCATGGGGTCCAACTGCCCCAACCCCAATCTTCTGCTTAGCAGCCAGTCCTTAATCACTTGTGCCATCAGGAAAACACTGCAGTCAGAATAAAGGAAATTGCAAGAACAAAGTCTCATCCTTTTTAAGATTATGGCTTTTCCCCTAATGTTTATGTTAGTGATTTTCATAGTTCGAATCATAGTGCTTAAGGCACTTGACTGCTAACCTGAAGCCTGGTGGTTCAAAACCCTCGGAAGGAAGATGGGGCAATCTACTTCTGTAGTGATACTGCCTCAGAAACCCAAGGAGGGGTCGCCATGAGTCAGATCCAACTCCACGGCACATAACAACAACAACAACAACAACAAATCCTTATGAATCTCCTTACTCAGAACTTTAAAAATCTTGACCTGAAATAATACTGGGAGGAGAGAGGAGAGCTAATTGTTTTCATGGTGTTATTACAAACTACCAACACCAATGCCTGAATGGCAGGAGTAGGAGAAGTAAATGGATGGAGAAAGGATTGTATTCTCCTTTATGTCAAAGAAGGAATAGGCTAAGCTTATTAAAATAATTCACATTTAAATCAAAATTCCACATAGTCATTTTATATACTAAACCACAGGATCTAAGATTAAGCCTATTAGGAAGATCTCTCCCCACAGGTTTTCAATGGCCAATTTTTTTAGAAGTGAATGGCCTCATCCTTCTTCTCACTCTGTCTCAGTCTGGAATCTCTGCTGAAACCTATCCTCCTTCAGTGATTCTGCTGGTATTTGAAATACTGGTGGCCTACCTTCCAGTATCAGAACAACATGCAAACCACCACAGTTCGACAAACTGACAGATGAGTAGTAGAAAGGTGTATGTCAGGGTTGTATCCTTTCACTGTATTTATTCAATCTGTATGCTGAGCAAATAATCCAAGAAGCGCACTATATGAAGAACAGTGCAGTATCAGGATTGGAGGAAGATCCATTAACAACCCATACTATACAATGACACAACCTTGCTTACTGAAAGTGAAGATGACTTGAAGCAGCACTTACTGATGAAGATCAAAGACAGCCTTCAGTATGGATGCCACCTCAA